ATTCCACAACTAAATCATCCCTTAAAAAAAGGAAACAGTTTAGAAAACAATGAGAAACAAGCTGTATGTAGCCTTTTGAAGTCCAATGCATTTACTTTTTAAACCTTTTCATGAGCCCTAAAATTAACTTTAAAAAGTTAGATTAGAAGCTGTGGAAAGTGAAGTTTTTTAATTCTCCCCAGAACAGGCACATCACAAGGAGCAGTAGAATAAATCTGCGGACAGTTCCCTATCAACATACCTCAACCCTTCTTTTGGCTTGATTTTTACAGGACTTTAATTAATGAAATATTAGTCATTCAGAGCATATTGTTTAATACAAATTCAGAATTAAATCCCCTTTATAACAGGTATATTACTTCTTTCATTCTTTAATCTATTATGTAGTCTCATACATAGAAGTCAGGCTAAACAGATTTAAACCAAAGGATTTAAATCACTATTTTTATCATGATTTAAATCAGCAAGCAGGAAACCTTGATTTAAATCAATTTTAATTGTGTTTTGTATTTGTACTTCAGTTATTTTCCCAAGGAAAGGTTTATTCCAATTGGTTGGTAACTATTAAGATGTTGATTTACAACTAGTCTTTCCACTAAAACTTGGTGCTTCTTTTTGCTAACCAGGAGGATATAATGCATCTATACACATTTATTTAACCAATTATATAGCTTACCTTACATGTATTCAGATTCTTAAATTTTTACATGTTTATGTTAGAAAATGGTGAATGAAATTTCTTATTTACTAAATGATTAATTTTTATAATAAAATTAATAAAAATTAATAAAAATATGTTAATTTCTATTTGCATGGATATTCAATTAAACATACACAAATATTGCGTTTTAATTTCTTTTTATTTAAAAACTATGAACTTTTTTCTCTTATGTATCCAGAGCTTTTATCAAACATGTTTTGCATGTAAAACTGATTTATTAGACAGTTAGTGTAGTACAGTGAACTAATTGTATCTGGTCACCATGTACTTCAAGATTTCAGAAGTAAAAAGAAAAGGAGTACTTGTGGCACCTTAGAGACTAACCAATTTATTTGAGCATGAGCTTTCGTGAGCTACAGCTCACTTCATCGGATGCATACCGTGGAAACTGCAGCAGACTTTATATATACACAGAGAATATGAATCAATACCTCCTCCCACCCCACTGTCCTGCTGGTAATAGCTTATCTAAAGTGATCATCAGGTTAGGCCATTTCCAGCACAAATCCAGGTTTTCTCACCCTCCACCCCCCCACACAAATTCACTCTCCTGCTGGTGATGAGTTGTCACTTTGGATGGGCTATCACCAGCAGGAGAGTGAATTTGTGTGGGGGGGTGGAGGGTGAGAAAACCTGGATTTGTGCTGGAAATGGCCTAACCTGATGATCACTTTAGATAAGCTATTACCAGCAGGACAGTGGGGTGGGAGGAGGTATTGATTCATATTCTCTGTGTATATATAAAGTCTGCTGCAGTTTCCACGGTATGCATCCGATGAAGTGAGCTGTAGCTCACGAAAGCTCATGCTCAAATAAATTGGTTAGTCTCTAAGGTGCCACAAGTACTCCTTTTCTTTTTGCGAATACAGACTAACACGGCTGTTACTCTGAAACCTGTCATTTCAGAAGTAGTAGGTCATCTTCTCGCCCCTAGTTTTTATTCATAGATTGGAAGGGGAAAACAAGCTTTTTCTGCTTCGTCAACTCCCCATTGGTTTCTTAAATTGTAATGAACTAGTCATTGAACTGAACTAGTTGAATAAACTGAAATGAAGAAAATATTCTCTCTGCAGAAGATACTACTGCTGTCAAAAACTGGTTTAGCACTCAGCAAACTCTGGTTCCAGGAGCATAGCCAGTGACTTCCATCAGTTCAGTGACTTGACTTTCTTTAAAACTTTTGTCAGAAAACACGTACTACTTAATTTTTTTTTGTATTTTACTTGAATGATTTTAATATTGTATAGTATATATACAAACACACACACACTGTATTTTTTAGAGAGAGAGAGTGAGTCAGTAAATAAACGTAGGCCTTAACAGGGGATGTGAATTTCAAATAGTGCATTTGTAAATAGGTGTATTTAAAGGATATTTTTAAAAATAAATCAAATAAACTCAATATTTTAAAAATGGATTTTTATCCACCTTGGCAGTAGCTTAAGTAATAGCAGTCACATTTCCAGGAGACAGTCTCCCTCCTAGAGTCAGCTCTAAAACAATTTCTTACTCTTCTACCAACTTCCAAAGAAACAGGACGGAAGCCTGTCAATCACATTTCTCTGGATTTTTTAGATCAGCTATGACAACAATTTAATGAACCAGGTACAATAAAAGCCTTATGTACAAGACTGGTTACATATCTGGTAACTGACTAGTTTTTATTTCAGATTTCAGTTGAACTGAAGTACAGCTACAGAAACAATTCTCATTTGAGGGACTAAACTACTGAGAAAGGAATATTTAGATCTAAACTTTGGACTGCAATAACTCCATGGAGGTGGAGATAAAGGCATACTGCTTCCACGGTGAGATTTTCTGCCAATCCATGAGGTAAATTTAAACAAAATACAAAGACCATCATCCAGAGAGTCTAGCAACTATCCGCTTCCTAAGAACTGCACACAGCAGTGCTTCATCAGTTACACAAACAGCATTTTCTAGGCTGCCAGCGCCAAGCAGGGCAGGTACCAATCTTTCCAGAGGATTAAGAATGCATTTCTCTAGATCACAAAACAGAAAGAGAAACAGACAATATCAGGGCCTTGTGGGTCAGCGTGCCATCAGAGGAGAAATCAGCGATGTGGAGTCTGCACATATTCTTAGTACAACTTGTTTATTTTACACTGTATATACACACTGATCCTTAAACAAAGGTGGTTACTAATGGCACGCCGGCAATGCCGTCTTTCCAAGCTTTCAGCCAAAACATAAAGCCCAGTATGCAGGGAGTAATTTTACCTCAAGAACTGACACTAGTTAGAAAAATCAAGGCAGAGAGCAAACTCTCTTGCTATTTTCCACAGCTCTCCCAAGAAAACTCACCAAGACCACAGCATTTTCTTCCAAGGTTTATTAATTTGTTTAAATGCAAAGAAAAAGAATGTCAAGACTGTGTGCAACAGCACTGCCTGCTGGCCACTGCTGTAACAATATAAACTACAGTTCTGATGTAGAATTAATTTATTCCATCCCACTAATATCCTCTAATATGGAGAAATATTCTCAGATTTACTTACATTGATTTTACAGATCTCTATATAGATTTTACTGAATTTGATGAGTACATTATTTTCTTCTCCCTGGACAGACTTGGGAATTACACAGCTTGAGTCTTACCTTTCCCATGAAATGACCCATTTTAATGGGCTAACAATACAGTTCTAAACCATTTTTTAAAGGAAAAAGTAAATTCTTTTAAAAATAGTATTGGTTTAAAAAAAAATCACATTCAAAGGGAGGGAATATATTCCTGGAATTTACATCAGGAGACTGGAAGTCAGGATTGTTGAGTGTTGTTCCAAAATCTGCCCCCCCCCGCCCAATTATCTTATTTCTCTGTGGCTCACAGTAAAATGAGTATAATCCTACTTACCTACCTCCTTCTCAGGGATATTGTGAGCATTAATTTAATCTCTACAGCATGCTAAGACTCCGAGATGTAAACAGTTATAGAAAATGGTTTATTACTATTAGTAGCTAAAGTAAGGCTCCCCTAATATAAAAAGGGAAATAGATACAAACTCAGCAAACAGCCATAGAAGGGTCGATTGCCTATACCTGTCACAATTCTGTTTGTTAACTACCATATTGCTGAGATTATAGTAATACAAGATGGTTTTGTTAATACTGTTTTATCCTGGGAAAGTTAAATTTGTTTACGATGTCTCTGGAATGATGCCACATAGAACAGATATATTAGCAAAGCAGACAGTAAAACATAAATGAATGCTAGAAAGTTGTGTGTCAGGACAGACTTAGTTTTGTTTAATGACCTAATGATTTCAAGGTCAGCCAACAGCTCAGTATGGAAAAAATCAGATCTCTGTTTTCTGGTTAAATGGAGATGCCCTGGTTCTTGGAGTTGCTGAGCACCCACAACTCCGATTAATGAGAATAAATAATTATTTGTATCATGGCACCCACAGGCCCCAGTCAAGAATGGGGCCCTATTTAGCTTGGTGCTGTATGAACATATAGGAAGGAAAAGTCCCTTCCTCAAAAAGCCAGTAATCTAATTTCAGACAAGATACAAGCGAGTGTAAACAGAGATGTTTGGCCTCCAGCTGCCAAAACTTAAGTGTGTTTCTGGTCATCCTTACTATATCTAAGAGCATATTATTGATAGCTGGAAGAAATGAGGAGATTTTAATCAGAGTAAAAACTGTCAGAATGACCACTCAAGCATCCAATAGTAAGCAAAATGAAATTCTATATAAGGTTACCCAAAATTCCCATGGGAAACCCACACTTCACTCTGTGGGTTAGCCTTGATTTCACATAATACAGTGAATGGCTGTTGTTGGTTTACGCCATAAAATGTCATTTCCTTTGAGGTACAGGAATTGTTGGCAGGAACTATATTTTGTTTTACTTTAATTTCTAGGTTATGGTTGCTGAAATTACTGTTTCACTACAACCAATGATGCTTTACTTTGAGTTTGTGTTGTTGCAATTTACACCCATATTTTGGTTTGTTTTTTACCACTACTATTCATCACAGATTAATTACATTAAAAAAAAAAAGCCTGACATTTTATAAATCACACGGGCTAAGATTGGATCAACTCCATTCTTTAACACACACACCCCGCACATAAATACCTTTTAAAGCGGTATTAAAGGAAGTTATGGTACAAAGGAACAGTTCAGAAAACTTTTTAATTAGCATCACCATGGTTAAAATATCACAGGAACCTGCATGATCCAGAGGATTAAACATACATGGTTGGGAGAGAAGAATTATTGAATTCTAATACCAGCTGTACCACTGACTTACCATATGGCTCTCTCCAAGTCTTACCACTCTGACTCCATTTCCACATCTGTAAAGACAGGCATAATACATTGTACTTTTACAGGTGGTGCAATAGTTAATATTTGTAAAGCACTTAACAATAAAAAGTGGTACACAAGTACTGCATGACTAAAAATTACTCTCATGCTTAAGGGATTGACAGCAATATAAATATTATTCGCTCAACTGCTGTAGGACTTCTGTTTTGTTTTTTACGTTTTCACCTATCCAGAACATGGAGCACTTCAAGGTGAAATGAGAAAAGCCTATGTACGTCTCCTGCTCTCAGAATTTTATTTTCCATTTGCCTCCTTAACTGTTTCTAAAGTAAAAATGCTTCGCAAAAGAACTGAAAGAAGATTAATCCAGGACTGTGGTTGATAGTCTTTTCGTGGACTCCAAGGTCAGAAGGGACCATTCTGATCATCTCATTAGCCCTTCTGTAGCACAAGCCATGGAATTTTGCCAAATAATTTCTAGCGCAGATCTTTTAGAAAAACATCCAATCCTGATTTTAAAATGGTCAGTGATGGAGAATCCATCACTGGCCTTGGTAAATTAATTCCAACAATTAATTACACTCACTGTAAAATAATGTATGCTGTATTTCCAGTCTGAATTTTTTCTAGCTTCAACTTCCAGCCTGTGTGTTATGTTATACCTTTCTTTGCTAGACTCAAGAGCCTATCATCAGATATTTGTTCCCCATGTAGGTACCTATAAAGTAATCCTTTAATCATTCTCATGAACCTTCTTCTCTGAATGCTCTCCAATTTATCAGCATCCTTCTTGAACTGTAGGCACCAGAACTGGTAGTCTATCACACCAATGCAAAACAGAAGAAAAATAACTTCTCTACTCCTAGCCAAGTGTCCCCCATTTATGCATCCCAGGATCACATTAGCTAGCCCTTTTGGCCATTGTGTAGCACTGGGAGCTCAGGGTTCAGCTAATTATTCACCACAACCCTCAAATCTTTGTTTCAGGGTTTCTTCTTTCTCGCTCTATAAAGGTATTCTTAGACCAGCTCACCAACATTAATGAGGTTGGAATTAGCCATTCGAGACAGAATTACTGCCTAGCCCTAGAAGCCCTTTGAAGAAAATAGAAGTTTTGACCATGTGAAGTACCCTATCCGTCCTTTATGACTGAATGTGGTATCTCCCCAAGAAGAATAAGAGAAGGCAACGAAAAAAAGAAAAGAAAAGGTATCTAATATATTCCTTTTCTCCAAGAATATGCAGTCACAACTATTAAAGTTTAGAAGACTACTGTATGTCTAAAATTTATTCTAAATACTACAGATTATTTATTCCCTCGCATGCAAAAGAGACAGCTTATGTCGACAGGGAAACTATGCATACACACTGGAAGAACCGCAAACAAAGTGAACTAATTTAATATTCTATGTTGCAGTCTCACCCTCACTCCTTAAATAAAATAACTTAACACAACAGCGCCATCTGGTGTTGCAAAGTATAGTCTGAATTTCTGAAAAAGGAAAAGGAGTACTTGTGGCACCTTAGAGACTAACCAATTTATTTGAGCATAAGCTTTCGTGAGCTACAGCTCACTTCATCGGATGCATACTGTGACTAAGGTGCCACAAGTAGTCCTTTTCTTTTTGCAAATACAGACTAACACGGCTGTTACTCTGAAACCTGAATTTCTGAAAGTAGATTCTCCCAAGAAGTGTGGTTCCTACTACTTCCAGGAAAATCAAAGATGTTTACTTTAATAATGCTATCAGAAACTTAGTTATTGATTGCATAGTGCCAATCACGTGTTACAAAGAAGAGGTCCCTGCTCTAAAGAGCTTACAGCCTAATATTTACCCACTCTCATGAGCACTGGACTCCATTCTTCTCCACGGGAAAGAGGAGTCTGGTGGCACCTTAAAGCAGGGATGGCCAACCTGAACCTGAGAAGGAGCCAGAATTTACCAATGTACATTGCCAAAGAGCCAGAATAATACGTCAGCAGGCCCCCCCCCCCAAAAATCAGCTCCCCCTCTCCCAGCGCCTTCCACCCAGTGTCAGCTGCACTGGTCAGCGCTGCCCCCCCCCCCCCCGACCAGCTGTATCATGACATGCAGGAGGCGGGGGGGGGGAGAGAGGATCGAGGGCATGGCAGGCTCAGGAGAAGGGGTGGGAAGGGGTGGAGTGGGGGCAGGGCTCATGGCAGAGCCAGGGGTTGAGCAGTGAGCACCCCCCAGCACACTGGAAAGTTGGCATCTATAGCTGCAGCCCCGGAGTCCGTGCCTATACAAGGAGCCGCATATTAACTGATTAAACTTGGTTTTATGCTGGAAATGGCCCACCTTGATTTTCATACACATTGTAAGTAGAGTGATCACTTTAGATAAGCTATTACCAGCAGGAGAGTGGGGTGGGAGGAGGTATTGTTTCATGGTCTCTGTGTATATAATGTCTTCTGCAGTTTCCACAGTATGCATCCGATGAAGTGAGCTGTAGCTCACAAAAGCTTATGCTCAAATAAATTGGTTAGTCTTTAAGGTGCCACAAGTACTCCTTTTCTTTTTGCAAATACAGACTAACACGGCTGCTACTCTGAAACATATTAACTTATGAAGAGCTCCAGAGCCACAGGTTGGCCACATGTGCCTTAAAGATTGAGCTTTTGTGGGTAAAAAACCCACTTCTTTAGATTCATGAGTGAAAAGTACAGATCCCAAATAAATCTGTTCTGTAATGTCCAGGCATCTGAAGAAGGTTTATTTACCCATGAAAGCTTATGCCCAAATACATCTGTTAATCTTTAAGGTGCCACCAGACTCTGTTGTTTTTGTGGACAACAGACTAACATGGCTACCCCTCTGATATATGAGAAAGAGGGAATTCCAGGCCTTGCTCGTTAACACCATGTGTTTATCCCCAGTATACTGATGTTACTAAGTTATTTTTTATTATATGAAATTCTTTAGGAATTTTGTAAGTATAACACTCATGCAACAATATATAATGTTTTGCACTTACAGAGCACAGCACCATAAGAAATTATCAAAAGACTATACAAAGGAGGTGAATGTAATTATCTCAGTTTTCCACATGGAAAGTTTTTAATCTTTCTTGGTGAGAAGTCTCTGGCTATACACAGGGTTGGGTTTTTTTTTTTTTTTTTTTTTTAATTATTCAGAACATTTCCTTCCCTCCCCCAATTTTATAGCAGCCTACATTTTAGCTTTTGAACACCACAGAAAACAGAACAGTATGCAAGAAAAAAAGAATAATCCTATGTAGGGGAGTGAACTTGTTATATACTCTCCTGTTAATTAACAACCAACCAACTACTATTTAGTTCATCTGGTGCATTCCAAGGAAACACACTGAAGTAGCTATTCAAAAATATTTAAAAAATAAAAATCTACAAATTAAAGTAAACCAGGAAAGGGTGATTTGATTTAGCAGTATCCCCAGGCAAGAATTAGGCAGGGGAGATACCATGATCACGAAGGTGGTTTTCCCAGGGTGAGGCTCATCCGTTGCACTGCGGGTGTGCTGACCTTTGCGATTTCCCCAAATGCGTGAAACTCGACTGCATAATTTGTGGTTAGTTATACCAGAGCCAGGGAACCACCCCCACAACACACACACAAACTTGCCAAGATCCTCGGGGACAGCCAAATCCGCAGAAGCACTTGAGCTGTACTCAGCGCACATGAAGGGAGTGGGGAAAGGCATAGAGAGCTTTCCATAACACTGCGCCTGAGGGCAGCTACAGGCTAGGCCTTGGTGCAAGTTGAAGCAACCTCCATGCTGCTTTAATTTGTGCTGGCTAGAACTGCTCAGCACAGCACCATCTCCCACCACTCTTCCTCCCCGGGGCCTCACCCACTATGCCAGCGCGGGCCAGGAGCAGGTAGCACTGAGCTGCCTAGGCCCGCTCGAACCTGTTAGAAAGGGGAGTCGCCAGCTGACCCTCTTTAAATCAGCTTCCCATGCCCTTTGTGCAGCAGAGCCGGCCCAGGGCGTTTTACTAACAACCTGCCACGTGCTCTGTTAGCGCATTCACGCTGTTTACTCACCATGGCGGCTGCTGCTACTCCCTTCTTTCCCTTCGCAGCCTGCCCGCTGCGAGCCACGTGCGGCTCCCGCCTGCCCTCTCCTGGGCGCTCCGTTGTTGGCTCTGCCCCTTTCTCCGCAGCTCCCCTTTCCTTTCATCCCCACTACCATGCACTGTGTTCTCATGCCTCTGCCACTGTCCTCCCTGTTACCCCCGGGCACTTGTCCTCTCCCCCACTTACACCCACCGTCCCCCCACAGCCCGCACGCGCCCAAACTCTTCCCCCCGCTGCAGGAGGCGGCGTGCGCGCCCCTCCAGCAGCCCAGAGCACCGGCCTCTGCCCCTGCTCCTCGTTGGGGGAAGGGGAAGAGGAGGTACGGGGCTGCCCGGGTTTGCTCTGCCTCCTACTTCTCCAGCCTTCCCTCCCCACGTGGTAGAAGCGGGAGGCGACGCTTTCCGCGCCGCGAAGGAAGTCGCTGTGAAGAGTTTAAGGGGCTGCTGGGCTTCCTCACCGCACCCAGTAGGGGCAAGAGAGGAACCACCGCCCTCCTCTGAGCAGCCAGGCTGGAGAAGGGGTGCGGCTGTGCGACCCAGCCCCATCCTCCAGCCCGTCAGCAAGATTTTCAGCAACTTTTAAACGGAGGGCGGAGGCTGTAGGGCAGGGGGTTCTCAAACCGCGGGGGGGGGGGGGTTAGGATCCCTCGGGGGTCGTGAGGTTATTACATGGGGGATCGCGAGCTGTCAACCTCCACCCCAAACCCTGCTTCACCTCCACCATTTATAATAGCCTTAAATATATATTAAAAAGTTTAATTTATAAGGGGGGGGGTGTCACACTCAGAGGCTTGCTGTGGGAAGGGGGCACCAGTACAAAGGTTTGAGAACCACTGCTGTAGGGCCTGCCTAGCCCTCAGCCACTGGCAGGTACTTTACCTTGCGGGCTTTCGATGACTCAAGCAGGGGTTGTGGAGTGCTCCTGCTCAGCCACGCAACAGCGGGGCAAGGAAGTGCCCACTGCCCTACTCTGTACAGCTCCCCCCGTGACACTTTATGGAGGTTATATAATGCCACGCCTATGCTTGTAGAGAACACAACTTTAGTTTATGGTCAACTCACTGCCTCAAGTAGGGAGAGGTTTGAACTACACTAAGCAACTGTGAGAGGGAAGCTGTAGACAGGACTGGGCTTATTGCGTGGGTGGGAGTTCACTACGCAGGGCACTATGGTCAGGGAAGTAGTTCACAGCATCAGCATCTCTGAGTTCCCAGCCATCAGCCTCTGCTCCTTGGCCACCCAGCTCTGAAGGCATGCCACCCTTAGTGCCTGTCCAAGTTCCTTCCCCACTCTGAAGTCTAGGATACAGATGTGGGGACCTACATGAAAAACCCCCTAAACCTATTTTTAGCAGCTTAGGTTAAAACTTCCCCAAGGTACAAACTATTTTACCTTTTGCCCTTGGACTTTATTGCTGCCACCACCAGGCATCTAACAAATATATAACTGGAAAAGAGCCTGCTTGGAAACGTCTTTCCCAGGAAAGGAGGTGTAGGGTTTAGGAGGATTTGCGGGGGGAGGAAAGGCTTGATAAAAATCCTCACCAATTTGCATAGGTGAACACAGACCCAAACCCTTGGATCTTAAGAACAAGGGAAAAGCAATCAGGTTCTTAAAAGAAGAATTATAATTGAAGAAAAAGTAAAAGAATCACCTCTGTAAAATAAGGATGGTAAATACCTTACAGAGTAAATACCTTACACATTCAAAACTGATAGAGAATCATTCTAGGCAAAACCTTAAGTTACAAAAAGACACAAAAAGAGGAATATACATTCCATTCAGCCATTTAAACAAAACAGAATCTAACGCATCTCTAACTAGATTGCTTATTAGCCCTTTACAGGAGTTCTAACCTGCATTCCTGCTCTAGTCCTGACAAAAACATCACACAGACAGAGAGAACCCTTTGTCCCCCCCAGCTTTGAAAGTATCTTGTCTTCTCATTGGTCCTTTGTCAGGTGCCAGCGAGGTCATTTTAGCTTCTTAACCTTTTACAGGTGAAAGGGTTTTTCCTCTGGTCAGGAGGGATTTAAAAGGTGTTTACCCTTCCCTTCATATTTATGACAGTGCCATACTGCTGCTGTCACTGGCCAGGTCTTCAGAGCTAGTTGTCATCCAACAGTCCTGGCTGCAGTGTTTTCCCCAGGAATTGAAATTTGGGGTCAGGGCCGATGAGGAGTGAGACCGTGAGAGTGAAGGTGGGCTGTATAGCACCATAGAAAAAACAGAAAAATGTTTCATGACCATTTTATTAGATTTAACTCATGTTTTAAAATCATCACACAAAATTAAAGTTAGCTACTTAAGCCTTCTGTGAAGCACTACATCTACATCCTTCTTGGTTTCTTGTTATAATTTTGCACAACTCTATTAATGAACTTCTTGAATAAATGTGTTCATCTTTGGTGGCTTCTTGTGGGTCCGGTACTTCCATTCCTTCAACTGATATGCTCATTAGTTCATTCATATGATCAGGCAGAAGATGACTTCTTTCAGAACACAAAATTCTACTCAATGATGAAAAAGAACACTTAACTGTAGCTGTTATGACTGGGAGTAGCAAGAGATGAATTCCTACTTCTTTCATCCCAGGAAACAGCATAAAGATTGGGTCGAGCAACTAGTGATGATAAAAAAAAAGAAGTTGAAGTCAAATCTTCATTAATTCGTGGTATGATATTCCACTCTGTGTTCAAATTCTCTAATCTGTCCTGAGCACATGGCAGCCCCATTGCTGGTAGTGCCTCACTCTACTCAACTGTCATGTTTTATAGGGCAGGAATCTGTAAAAGCTACGTAGAGGTTGAGTAGAATCTAGAAGTCACTGTTGTAGATTTTTAAGAATAAAGTCTGTGTACTTTTTCAGTTGTCTGAACAAACATTTCTTGTCCTCTTCACTTAAGGATTCAATATAAATGCCTTCATTAGCCAACTTCTGGATGAAGTCTTTGCTTCTTCCAGTACGTTTTTAAATGGATAGCTCTCTGATTAAGCTAAATGTAGCTTCTATTGCTGGACAAAGATCTACTACTGTTGTAGCAAATGCCTGGATGGTTTCAACAGTAGACTTACAAGAGAGAGAATGGCAATAGTCTTCTTTGAACATAGTAGCAAAAGTAGTCCACCAGCCTCACTACTTAGATCCATCCCATCTTGGTAGATACATTCCAAAGCCAGTAACAACGGCTGGAGTAATTTTAAGACAACAGCCAACGATCGCTCATGAGAAAGCCAGAGGGTTTTCCCAGGTTGGACTAATTTGAACTTCAGTCTCAGTGTATTTTCCAAGATACTCAGTATTTTTGGACTCTTGCTGAAAAAAAAAAAAGAATATAATGACATTAAATTTATAGCTTTTTAAATGTCTTTTGACGTGTCTGCAGCTCATACTAGCGCTAGTTGGAGTAGATGGCCTCTGCAGTGTGTATAGGAGACATTAGGGTTACACTTTTCTCTGAGCTATGCTTGTTCTCCACAATGTCTTCCAGAGCAGTTTGCAGCTCCATCAAATGCACAAGGAACCATCTGTTTGGGGTCCAGTCGATAAGCATTTAACTCTTCTAAAATGTGGACTGTCACAGATGCAGCCGATGTGTCTTTTATAAAACTTGAACATCTAGAAATGCATCTCCTGGCCTACCTCTATCAAGATAATGTACACAATAACAATACTTTGTGTCCATTTGCATCAGTGCATTTATCAGCTGCAATTTTTTTGCATGTGGTGAGAAAGTTCTTCACTTTTTCAACTGTTGAGTCTCACTGTTTCACCACATGCCTCTAGCAAGTCAGTTGAGTTTCTTGCAGAAAGATAGTGAGCATTTGCGGGTCTTCTTCGAAACCAGTGTTCAACTTCAGGATGAACAAGTGACAATGCACTTAACATTAGCCTCCAGTTTGTAGTGTGTGGTATCTCTTGCTTAAATAGCATGTATGATGCCACAGCCATGTTTGTTCACATGAACTGTGTTGTGTCTCCAGTATTCTTAACAGCCTCATTAACACTCACCGGTGTTGTCCTTGGTCAGTGGAGACTCAGAGTTCAGAGATGCTTTCACATGAGTTCACCTCCCAGGTGCGGGGCAAGAAGGCATCTTGCTTGTTCCTTCAGCTGCTCACAGTTCGCTCTGGCCACTGTTGTTCATTGTGCTACCATTCACTCCATTGCTCTGTTGCCATTGACCCTGTGCTGTAACCTTCTGCTGCCACCTGTGACCTCTGTGAGTTGGTATCTTGAGGTTCCACACAGAAATCTCAATGATTTCAGCTGAGCTCTCAGTGGGAGATCTGAGCCATCTCTTCCACAGAAACACTGTCCCACAGCAGGTCTAAGCACTTAGACCTGATCATCAGTGATTTCAGCTGTAGTGGTCACTTAACAAAACAAAAGACTATCTATGGAGCCTAATCAGCTCTGTCTTAAAACACTGGAGAGGCACAGATCAAATAGTACTTGTGACTCATGCAGACCATCAAGCAAAACACCTGTCCCCACCCTCTCTCGATGACCTCAATCAGCACAGTAAGTACAGTTCTACTGCCCCTTTACTCATACAATAAGAACATTTCATTCCCTCCCCACATTCAAGTGATTTGTAACCCAACCCCAACCAAAAACTATCACTTGGGCAACACAGCTGTTTGCTGGATACCTAGGTAGACTATGTGTGCATGTAAATACAATCTGGTCCTGAAGCCTTTCCCCCCACCCCATCACTAGCTGTCAGGGAGGGCTTATTTAGACCTTGCTTACAAATCATAATTTGAAATTAGTAGGTTGGCCAACAGCACCAAAGTGAATGCACTGACATGGTCATAAAAAAAAACCCCAAAAAACAGCTGTATAAGGAAGCTAGTCTATGATAATACTTTTCAAATCTATTACACTTTTTTAGATTCATGTATTTTATCATACACTGTATATACTTTTAAAGTGTGTATTAATGTTTCAATTTCAATTAAGATTTCCAAACAATCACTGAACTGACAACACTACATGTAACTAGTTTACAAAACGGGGGCGGGGGAGGGTTGGGGAAATTCAGGGCAGGCATGTAGGGAAATCCCTGCCTGGCTGTTTGCTCAGCAAGTGCTGAAGCAG